GTTCCCCTCCATCTCTGGCCCCTAGCACTGTGCCTGGCACATAGTAGAAGTATTCATTAAGTATTTGTCAACTAATTTGTAGGGTTTATCAAAACTGGTTTATCATAACTAGTACTGTGTAATGGGTTAAGGCATGAACTGTGAAGCCAAACCATCTGGGTTACGTATTATTAGGTATAAGACTTGGATAAGTTAACCTTTTGTTCCTCATTTGTCCTTACTAGAAAGTGGGGATAATATAACTTGAGAGTTACTGTTAGGTTGAAATAAATCCTATAGGTATATATTGGAATTAGGTATTAATATTACAAATGCCTACTTCCAATTTAACCTCACCAAACTAGAGAAAGGGGTCTATAAAAGCTGACCATTTGAGGCCTGCTTTTCACTCTTAACTACCAATGGATACGAGCCCTCATCACACACCTTGCTGACTGCCTACCGCTGACTACCTGCCACTGCCACCAACTCTTCCCTTGCTGATGTAAAGATCTTAGCTGCACAAAGATCTGATCTTTCAGAGTTACTGCGTTGACTCTTGTCCCTCTTCCCACTTCTCTTCAAACCCTTTAATAATTCGCCCATGGAACCCTTCCCAGAATGTTTTAAAGCCCCTGCACAAAACTATATTGAAAGATAGTTATCAAGATATTAAAGAGCTATGTAAGTGTTTACTTATGCATTAAATATCTAATAACTAAATATTGAGTATCAACCTATTGTGAGATCTCAAACCTCTTCAAACATGATGAAAAAATCGGCTTGCCATCGGCAATATCACTGGGATTTGTTGCCTATGTTCCCACTTGAAGAAAATGCTAATTTTAGTTACAGGTTCATGATCATAAGGATGTAATTTTTCTCATTTGTTTATGGTAAGGCTTTCCTGATTAAAACCTCCCTGCATGCAATAGTCTCCATGTTTTAGCTCCAGCCTGTGTCCTAATTTCTGTTCTACCTCAGCTTAACAGAAGCTGAGGGAATCATAGTTTTAATGGTTGAACAAATACTCTGCGCTATGCCTACTCTGTCAGATACTGTATTAGACCATGGAGATTCAGAGCTCAGGCCTCTGCCTACATGAAGCCTCTTGTCTAGTGAGGGAGAATAATTATAAAGAATAAACGCACGAAGATAACATGTAATGCTCTGAGGAGATCAAACAGTATCCTATAAAGAAGTAATATACCTTCCCCTGTACTATTTCTAATCCTTAGTTTCTTTACTAGCACCCAGGCAAACAAATGTTCAGTGTTTCTCTTTATTACACAAATGGTTGTGAACTATACATCTTGGTGTAGTATTTTGCTTTAAATAATTGGAGGCCTTTTCATATCACTACATGCAATGTTTACTTTTTGCCTGTAACCACAGAATATCCCATTGTGTGGCTGTACCATAGTTTACGTACATGTCAGTGGTCTTGGAATTAGGTCCTGTATCTTGCTGTTAAGAACAATACTATGGTTAATAACTTTGTTACTTCATATATTTGGAAATGTAGATTGGTAATAGAAATTCTCAGAAGGGGAATTGCTGCCTCCAAAAGCAAATGCATTTGTAATGGTGTTAGATATCACCAAACTGCTTTGTATTGTGATTGCACTAATCTACCTTCTAACAGTAATGTATGAAGGTATCTGTTTTTTCAGACACATTTGAAGTATGTTATAAAAACTTACATTTTTACCAATTTCCTAGTTGAAAATGGCTTCTCGCTATATTCTTCCTGAGTGAAGTTTAACATTTTAAAAATGTTAGTTTGAGAGAAAGTGAGTGCATGCACACAAATCGGAGAGGGACAGAGAATCCTAAGTAGGCTCTCCACCATCAGCACAGAGCCCCAGTATGGGGTTAAACCCATGAACCATGAGATCAGATCATGACCTGAGCTGAAGTCAAGAGCCTGACAATTAACTGACTGAGCCACCTGGGTGGTGCCCCTAATATTTTCTTTTTTATAGGTTTTGAGTCAGGATCAAAATGACTTGTCCTATTCCAAAGTGATAAAGGCATTCTCTTGTTACTTTCTAGTGCTGTTATGGTTTTTTTTTTCAAAAGCTTACATCACTGATCTTTTGAATTCTATGTAGGAAGTATCCAAATTATTCTGGATATCTGCCCACATGTTGCAATACTCCTAAATATTTTTACTGATTTGAGATGTCTATGCACAAGTCTTGAATCCTGTAGGATTAATTAGCCTTCCTTAATTAGCCTTGGGCTTATCATGTGCTAGCATTGAAGAATTTAATGTGGCTGTATCCTATCTTAATATCTAAATAGTCCTAGTCCTACCTCCCTGTTCTCTAGAATTCTTTTGGTTGCTTTATTTTTCCATATGTACTTCAGACATTTACATATTAAATATAGTTATTAAAATTAGGGTCTTGTTAAATTTATAGATTCATCTGGGGAATCTTATTACTCAGGGACATGGCACTTGGTTCCATTTAATTTGTAGTTCTCTAGTAGTGATTTAACATCTTACAAATTTGAGTTCCTGGGCATTTAATCTGTAAATGGGATAATTTCTTCATAATATCATCTAATGGGTGTTTGTTCATATATGTGAAAACTTGTTAGACCTGTATTTTATCTCCCTGAAATCACTTATAGTAGCTTTTCAGTTATTAAGGTACATGCTGATTGCATCTATGAATAATTTTAACTCTCCCTTTGCAATCTATTCTTGATCTTTTATGTAATCTATCTTACATGTGACATCATCTCTGGGCTGGGATAGTTTATCTTAAGCACTTGTTTTATATTCTATGGGTGTTTTTAAAATGAAGAATGTTAAATTTTTTTTTAGAAGTCATGTGATCTCTTTTAAATTCACATAGGGGATTGTAACGAATTAAGATTCCCAGTATTGGGGGTGCCTGAGTGGCTCAGTCAGTTAAAAGTCACACTCTTGATCTCAGGGTCTTGAGTTCAAGCTCCATGTTGGGCTTCATGCTGGTCATGGAGCCTACTGCAAAAAACAAGAAAATTCCCAGTATTACACCATCCTTACATTCTTCTAGGAAATTCCATTTTGTCATGTATTCGCAGGTTGCTGAATTAGGTTTGCTAGTAAAATTTAGGACTTTGATCTCGATCTATATGAGCTTGTCCTGTGTTTTTGTTTTGGTGCTGTCTTTATCAGGTTTTGATCTAAGATCACACTCCCTTCTTAAAAAGAACTTATATGTTTTATGTTTTGGAAAATTTCAAATAACACTGGAATTATCTGCTTTTTCAAGGTTCGGTGGAATTTCTCTGTAAAATCAAAGACATGAGTTTTTTGTGATGTAATTGACCTCTTTTTCTGTTGGGTAGAAAAAGGGTCTGTTTTGGAATCTTAACATTTCTGGAGTTGTTTCGGTAACCCCTATCTTACCAAACAGTTAACCTCTATATCATAAATCCCCCCTCTGTTTTTTTTTTGCTTTTCTCAGGCATTGATATCTTGTAATCATTCTCTCCCAACTGTCATGCCATTGCTGTCACTGCAATTGAGGTTTTGTCTTCATGTTATAGCCTCTTATAACTGCTAGTATTTTTCCCCCCACCATCTATAACACACAGTTACTAAGCTAAACTTTCTACCTTAGCCTTTTTTAGTATAGTTGACCCTTCTAGTCTTATTCACTAATGTTATATATACCCCAACATCTGGTATGGGGCAGACATGAGAGGCATGCAGAGAGAAGTGTGGGCAAAAGCTCTGTTCTTACAGAGCTTATGTTTTAGTGGATTGTATCAGACAAAAATAAGAGGTATTGATACGTACATTGAAGAAAAATGAAACGGGATAAGAGGGATAGATCTAGGAGGTGGGTTGACATATGGGGTGGTGAATGTGGAGCAGAAATCTGAAACAAGTGCTCGAGGAGCCATTATGAAAGTGCTTGAAGGCAGAAGTTTTAGTAAGGGGATAGGTCCTGAGGTGAGCTGAACACATCTTGTCATATTTGAGAAATCGCAGAGACACCAGGAGTGGAGCTCTAGAAGGAGCCAGGGTGGAAGTGCTAGAAGTCAGAATTAGTTACCTGTGTGCCTGGAGGCATAGTAAGGGCAAGATGTGAGCACAGCAGGACATCATAGATTATTGTAAGGACGTTGGATTTTACTGAATGACTTGGTCATGTTTGTTGAAGAACATTGATCTAGACTTAAAGAGAAATTACTGTGACTCCTCCATAGACCCTAAACTAAAGGACTGTTGGTGTATAGAGGAAACAAAACATTAGGTTAGATCATGGATGTGTTAGTAAAACTTGGCAGAAGCAGTTGGATTTCAGTTATACCTTGAAGGCTGAGCTATCAGGATTTGCAGATGACTTAAATGTAGGATGTTACCTTAGGCATAAGAGCTCATCCTTGACTTCTAAGGACTTGTGGCCTGAACATTTGGAATAATACTGTTGCCATTTACTGAAATAGGGACCATTGAAAAGGCAGGTTTGGACTGAAAATGAGGAGTTTTGATTTGGACGTGTTTAGGTTGAGAATGCTACTAGTTATCCAAGTGGGGATGTTGAAAAACAAGTTTGTGGCTTCTGGAATTCAGAAGATAGATCTTCATGAAGACTCTTTAGTGGCTCTCCACGGCTTACAAATTGTAAATTGCTAGCATCACCTTCAAGATCTCTTATCTGACCCCAGAAAACTCACTGCCTTATATAAACCAAGCTAAACAGGCTCTCTTATTATAGAAGGTGATAGATTTTTTTTTTTTTTTTTTTTTTTTTTTGGCCATCCTGAGGGCATTGCCTATGCCATTCTTTTTACTGGAATGCAGGTCATCACAACACTGCCTATTAGAAAGCTGTCCAGTCTTGGTTCCTTCACGCTCTTATGTACTGGGTCATCATGGCAAGGAAACGTTATGTTTAGTGGATGACAGTGAATGAATGGACTTCTGGATGTCCTGCATCTGTGTGCTCACTTAAAACTGACGCTGCATGCTTTCCCTTCTTAGTGACAAAGTTAATTATTTTCTTTCTTTTCAGATGGGAACATTTAAAGCGCATGATGGTGAATATTTCTTAGAACCTATAATGAAGGCAGATGGGAGTGAACCTGAAGATGATCATAACAAGCCACATCTTATATACAGACAGGAATTAAAGAGCAGCTATTTTCTGCAATCTCCCCAGCCTTGTGAAGTTTCAGGTAAACTGTGGAGTAAAACTTTTTTGGTAAAATTACACTATTTAAATATTCTTGTAGGTTAGAATTGACAGATGTTCCTCAAATACTGAAGTATATTTCAAACAAATTTTCTTGACCTGTAAGGACCCATTAGAAATTAGTTTGTAGGCAATTTTGTAAAATAAATTTAGATCCAAAAAAGTATTCTGCATGAGATTTAATAATCAAACTTTAATCCATTTACTAGTCACACTACTAGTATGCTTTTTCTCAGCAGGATTTTAGATAATTAAAGAAGAACCAAAGTAATAACCCGTTGTTCAATTTTCTATGCTTTCAACTTTGTAAAAGAAACATTGTAGTTTTCTGACTCTTACTCAGTATTTTGAGATTTATTTTGGTGTGTGTAGCAGGGGTTTAGTCTTGCTGTGCAGTATCTTACAGGTCATATATCCATTTTCTTATAGATAAAACTTTTGGGTTACTTGCAGTTTGTCATTATAAACAATGCTGCTGTGAATTTTCTTGTCTCCATCTGCTGTAGTTGAGGTTTTCCCAAGTATATACACAGATATTAGAAAATTCCGTATATTGTTTTACAAAGTGGTTTTTATGAGTTTATGCTTCCAATAATGAGTGATATTTTTTTGTTTCTGTAAAATTCAGACCAAAGAATTATAATGGATTAGAATCTAGGAATAGTAGGTATCTGTAAAATATAAATCATACATATCTATAAAGTATAAATCTGTTGCTAGTAAAATTAGTGCATTGCATGGAAGTCCTATTAAGAGTTGTGTCCATGTGTGTACGTGAATCTTCATATCCTTGTGTCATTCTCTGAAGAACGGAGAAAGGCACCTGCAGTTATCATCAAAGTACAAAACCTAGACAAAGGACTGGGATTAGAAAGGATTTATTTGAGATTGTAGGTGTCCATAAAGTATAGTCCCAACACTGCAATGCCATCTGTTTTGGGATATAATGATATGTAGGCCTTTGAAGGTTTTCTCTGGGAATGCACTTCTTAACCTTTGCTATTATAAGAGTGCCATTTTGGAGTGGTTCTCACTGTGTCTAAGGCCGTGTTTTAAATCTATTGACATAATAGATGCCTTTCTTATGCTTTTAATATGAGCATAAGGGTTTCATTTTTATGGCTTCAAAGAAAACACAAATGGGTACAGCTTCACAATAGAATTCTACAGAAGGCAGCTTATGCTTGTTCTGATCTACCATTCAGGAGCAGCTTGTTTAATGAATTGTTTAGCTTCTTAAGAAGAAAACCATCAAGTAGACACTCTGAATGCATAAATGTTTCACATAATGATATGCAGGGTTTTGCATTCACAATCAGTGTTCATTATCAGAAAGAGAATGGAACAAGAAAAGCCAGTCTTGTGTTTAAAAATTTTTTATACTACACATTTATTACAAACACACAAAATTAAATAGAAAGTTATGGAATTTCATTTTTTAGTCACAATTTTTCCACATTTATCTACTAAAACCTCGAAGACTGTATCCTTTACAAGTCTTAAAAATGGAGGTAATTTAAGTACAACTAACCTACGTATCTTTAATCACAAAGCAATCAATTAATGGCCTAAATAATTAGCTGCTAATCATCATTTTGTTAGGCAAAATGGAGACTTGTGAACATAATTAGTAAAATGTTATCAAAGGCTTTTTCTTCCCCAATTCACGCATTATTGTTCAGACATACTTGTAGGATCTTCTATTCCACAGGTGAACCTTGATTCAGAAGGACCTCTTCAAATGGGTTGGTCTAAAGATTGAGCACATGAACCAAAAAGGTTAAGGGGAAAAGGGAAAGTCATTTTTTCCCCACATTTCTATGATGGTCTTAATTCATTTTGGCCCTAAAGTGTTGCAATTCATAGTGCTTTCAAGCCTTGATGGTTGTTTTCAACATCAGGTTTGACAGTGGCTCCTTGAGGCCATACAAATTACATTTGGTTGCCAAACCTAACTATTGTGGATGCCAGGCTCCAGGTAGACCTCCGACATTGTCTAAGTAAAATTGAGTCAAAATGGCAAAACACCCCAAAACCCCACAAAATGAGCAAACAGCCTCTGTATGCTACCATCATCCACCCTAACAAAACTAAAACCTCAGAAGGGGGAGGCTCTGAAAAGGTTGGGAATGAAATATCTTCTGGGTTTTTACATGCAGTTTTGCTCTTGCTTATCCCCCTTGTCACCCACGGCAGAGCGGAACTGGTCCTGGTAAGCTCTGCAGTCTTTTCCCTTGCTACTCTGCCCCTCTCCTCTCAGTGTCAGGAGTTTAGGAGCTTAAAACATTTCTTCTATTAAACGGGACTTGACATGAGTAAAATGAAAGGTCTTTCAATGGGTTTTAGATGATGTTGGCCAGTTTCAAAGTTTCTGTGTTTTTCCTAGTTTTTTCTAAACTTATCCTTAGTCTTGGAGTCCCTAACATGTGCCAAGGAATGTACTGGGTAAAACTTGAGTGATTCTCTTCATTCAGGTTCTCAAAGCCCTGGGGGTGGTAAAAGAACACAAGAACAGAAATCACAAACTGAATCGAGGCTGCTGTGGGCAAGGAGCTGTATCACAAGCAGCTCAAGGGGCTGAGCAGCAACTTCCTGGGTTTTTACCAAGGAAGTGATACTTCAAGCACCTAATCTTCATTGTGAAGGATTTTTGGGCATTTTCAAAGCAAAAGTAAAAGGTTGATGGTAGAGGGGACTTGTATTAAAAAAAAAAAAAAAGCACCCAAGATTAGTTTAGATCAAGTATGGTAAGGTGACAGACCTGGAAATAACTACCTTTTGAAAGAATTTTACAATTCGCAAGAGAAGGGGACATGCCACCCCATGACAAGCTATGAGGCATGTGGGTTGGTCAGGAGGCAGGAAGGAGTGTGGGGAAAGCATGGGCAAAAGGGTTTATTACTATAGTAGTGGAGAGGTCCTCCGTTGGGCAGGAAGTAAAACAGATACTGAGGTTTGTAGTGAGAGGATTTTTAATAATTTCAGTGTGCCTGGGGCGCCTGGGTGGATCAGTTGGTTGAGTGACCGACTTCGGTTCGGGTCATGATCTCACAGTAGGTGAGTTCGGGCCCTGCATCGAGCTCTGTGCTGACAGCTCAGAGCCTGGAGCCTACTTCGGATTCTGTGTCTCCCCCTCTCTCTGCCCCTCCCCTGCTCATGCTCTGTGTCTCTGTCTCTCTCTCTCTCAAATAAATGTTAAAAAAAAATTAAAAATAATTTCAGTGTGCCTGTGAAAGCTGGACTGTGCTGGCAGATATAAGCAGAGCACATTTTGGTCCTGTGGTTGAGAGCCAAATCAGAAATCATTCAATCTGTAAAAGTTAGAACAGACTAGAGGGGAATAGTATTTGTATGTCCAGAGTCCTGATGTGTGTGGTGAGTGTGGAAAGTAGGACAAAATGGGACCGCGAAGGCACACAGGTGCAGATATCAAAGGAGTGTAGGATTGTGTAGGCTATCTTATGGGTACTGAAGAGACCCTACTGTTAAAGCAGAGACCATCTATAGCTTCTAAGGTTGTAGTACTCAGCGGCTTTAGTTTTAAAGATAATTTGGGGGGCACCTGAGTGGCTCAGTTGGTTAAGCATCCAGCTTTTGGTTTTGGCTCAGGTCGTTATCTCCCGTTTTGTGGGATTGAGTCCCACGTCAACTGCACTGACCGCATGGGAGCCTGCTTGGGATTCTTCCTCTACTAGCTTGCATTTCGCTCTCTCTCTCTGTCTCTCTCTTTCTCTCTTTCTCTAATATTTAAAAGAAATAATTTTGGATTTGAATGAGGAGAGACTCAAGCCCAGGGGACTGAAAGCAGCTATGTTGTCAACAGAGGATTTAGACGTCAAGTGAATTGCACATAAAAGAGTAAATTGAAGATAATTTCCTTTAAAGCTTTTTCCTCAGCTTTGAGATGGTAAAGATTGTTCTGTGTATAACCCAGGCGGATAATCCTATGAATGCATGAGAATTCTTTTAAGTAAAATTTTACTTCTATACAGGCTATTTCCCTTTTAAAGACTTAATCAGCATTGGTTTGAAGAAATATGGATGTCTTTAGTGTTGGCAGGGGCCACAGTTGACTTAGGAAGCCAGGAGTCTGGTAACAGAGTTGTACTTCTGGCTCTCCTACTGACTTGGAGAATTTACTTCTCTGGATCTTAACCTACAGTAGGTAATAAATGGCTAATGAATTTGTTTCAGTACAGGTCAAGTTTCCAGTTTTTTATTAACTTGAGTACCTCATGGTTATAGGGACCAGGCAGCTATAGGAAATGAGTAAAGTGAGGTGTCAGTAGGACACTGAGGTGTCCATTGGGCAGTGGGATGGACGTGCTTCTGGCAAAAGGTGCACAGGGAACTTGAGACCAGTATTACCACATCTTTTGTATTATAACGTAAAGCTAGGATTTTTCAATTGGGGGTGGGGGAGAAACTGTCATGTTTGGTTAGCCACCCGTTTACAGAATCTTAAAGATTTCCAAGGTCCCTGACCGTGGCCAATATTTTGAACTGATAAACTTGAAAAGAAACCACCAGTCTCCTCCACCTTACTCTCCATTTGTACCCCTCCCCACCAAAGAAGCCTTTTTTTTTTGTTTAAACTCTAAATCAAACACATACTATAATGGAAACTTAGCAAGTGCTACTTTTTGAAAGTCCTATTATCTAGAAAATACTGGTATTTGAATAACATCATCTGCCCAAACCATTCAAATCACCCTTTTTGCTTTGTTAATTAACATTTGTGCCCTTTAGGATAGTTTCTTCAGTGGTCATTCTTCAGTTGTCCCAGTAATGTTAAATTTTATCCCTGAAACAAAGATCCTAAATTGTGAAATTTTAAGATGTTTGAGATTATGAATCCTCAGCACTACATCTGCCTAATATGGATTATGAAAAACTCTCAGAATGCTCTTCATGGTCCTCTTCCCAACCCTTGGAAGAACGATAAGCTGTGATCATTGTGAACTTTTACAGATGGTTTCTGTG